AGGTTGAACCCCTAAACATCTTGTTGATGTGCCTATATCATATTGTTTATTAATATATGGGAAAGTTGTCCGAAAATTTTTTGAATTTTTAAAGATTTGCATGATAAATAGTGTATAATATTCTCTTGCACTCGATTATATTTGTGGGTTTGGAATCCTATATTATTCCATCTATATTAAAGTTTTGGACAAAATAAAAAATGCATGTAAGTATAGAAAGGAGACTGAAGACCTGTTCATTGTAGAGTTTATATATAATTGATATTATTACATTCGAAGACTGCAGTTCAACCTATAAATTATAAATTATAAATATTATATTATATTTCTCTCAATTTTAATCCTAAACATGCCTTTTAAGCTAGGCTTAAAATTTAGATATCATGATATTATATTCATGTTTACATTTCATGATGACGTGTGTCTGTTGAGTTTTTTTCCTGTGTGGTTTTTCGTTTAGTCAATACGGGACAATACAGTTGCCCACCCTGCAGTGTATTCATTTGTCTTGGTATGTGAATATTTTATCCCCACACATCGTTTATATTTATTAAAAAATGATTTCACTTCTAGTTTGTTTCATTTTGTTTTTTATTAAATGTAAACTGGTTGCGTTATTATTATTAATTTTTGTTATACGATTGTTAACGGTATTCTCAAACAAATCTAGTCTTGGCCGTATATATATATATAGTATATGCCGGACGTGACATTTCATAAGCATTTTTCTTTTACTTGTTTTTATTCGTTATTACAATTATAGTCACGAATTAAGTCAGTACTTTGGAAAAAAGTTCCGTGGAAAAGAAATATTCAAACATCGGACGTGACAGAAATGATTTCACCTTATATAGTAGGTACCTATAGTACAAATAATTATTATTAAAATTCGTTGGAACCACGGATAAAAACAATATATTTTATTTTCTGACGTCTCAACTATAAAGACGTGTTTTATATTGTAATATGGATTTAAAAGAAGTCATCCTGCATTCTCGCCTAACTTTATCTCTCCCACGTGGAGCATATAGGTAGGTATAGCAAAAACAAAATGACGGAAATCTATCGTATTGATTGAACAGTGGTTGTAAAGTTAAAATACCGGTTATTACTTGTAAAAAATATTTATAAAATATAAACAAATATTTTCGAGGGACTATAAATTATATTTCTGTGAAATATTGCTAAAATTATTAATGCACCTAAGTGTAATATGTATCTAAACATTCTAGGTCCATGCGTTATATTTATAGTATAATAAAAAAAGGCCATGAAATTCCCAAGAAAATGTTATTTAATTTAATTTGCATAGCATATATACCATTATTATATTTTATAATACCTATAAAGTTGTTATAGCTCTTAAAATTAAAATCACTTTCCAATCATTTACGACAGATCTGAGATCTTAGTGAACTTGTTTTTGCTGTGCTCCACGCATGGACATTGGACAGCCATGGTGTATTCAAATACTTTGGTTTCTTTACATTTTCTAAATTGATTTTTTTTTAGAATTCATTACATATTTATTGACTTACTGTCATGTATTGTAGTGTGTATACTAGTAGTACCGTAGTACTGTAGCTGTTTTATATGTATAATTATCCTTTTAAAATAGCTACAAACTAATATTGTTCTCTATTATCCATAGATATAGATAGCTTACGGCTAGGAATGTCTTATTTTATTAATTAAAAAAAAAAAGTAGGACTGTAGTTTCAGTATAACATAGTCATCATTTAAATATTAAAATATAACTTATTTTATAATCGAAACTTCTTTAGTATCAAATCATTACAGCTTACTCGACAACGAGCAATATAAATTTAAAAACATACAATGTTTTATCACCAAAAATGAGATTACCATGACCGGGAGTGTATGAATGTGATTAAACGACTATTAAATTGTCTACACAGGATCGTTGGGTTCATGTTATATCTCATTGGCTCGACAAATGCTCGATTATCTGTCATTAATATATTATTAATTTCTATTAATCGAAAGATTGTACTGAAGTCTCTAGCCAAAAAAACTGAATGACTTGTTTTGAAGAGTTTATTTGTTCGTTTACTCGTGTGACACGTGTGACCCTTTGATTTATATGTCTTACTGTAACAGTTATAATAGTAATATTACTAGTGTAAAATATATCCGTGATACATTTTACGTTCACGAGCAAACTTCTCTTCAAATATTTTCATAACATCCTTAAAAATGTATTGGATGATAATAGACAATGATTATAAAAAATGATTTCAATCATTCTAAAAATTGGACAAGAATAAGTTTGCTGTAAGACCGTTTCTACAATTTGGATGTTTATAATAGGTATTGAATGAGATAATGTTGTCAATTTATTAAAGAATGACGATATATATTGGAAAAATATAATTTAAAAGATCGAACATTTCAAATTTGTATTAAAATTTACATATAGATATATATATTAATATTAATGTAAATTGTTATTTATTATAAGCCACTTGCAAATATACAAACGCAGTAGAAGGCGTCGAGGAAATTTTCACACATATCAAGGGTCATCCAGAACAATAGTGAAAATTGTTGGAGGCGTTATATTTGACGTTGAAAGAAAAAACAAATAACGTTATTATCGCAAAATATTTAAAAAACTGCGATAATACCAAATGTTATTTTCTTTTCATGGATCAATAATTTAATAAAACTGAGCGTTGTGCTGTGTATGTGCGTGTAAACGTACGTGACAGAAAGTTCGGAAGACGATGACTGTAAAATGTCAAACGATCATTCTCCCAATTATTTTGAGGGACGAGAATTACGTCCGAAGAACGCGAACGCTTGTGTTCTGAACAAGAACGACCAACAAAATATTTAGAATTGTCTAGAATTTCACTATGCTACAGTATACCTCCCAGGAGTTGATTCGATTTCGTACCTACTAAATACGTACAGTTATGCAATTGAAAGAATTATTTCTTCTTCACAATAAACGTTGTTAATCAATGATCACTGATTCACTTGCATAAATGTCAGTGCGTGCGTTGAATCTCGAGGTGATCGGTTATCACTGTCATTATCACTATCATCATCAACATTTCATATAAGTTTATTTTTTCTTCGTTATTTTCTTTTCTCGACATTCCGGTGTTACAAGTTGAACACACACACACACACATCAATCGCCCCAAGACTCGAGAGTACATAATATTCTCATATGCGCGCGCACGCGGTTCATTCACTCGAACGACGCCGCCGCCACTTTACTCGTCGTGATCGTCTCCGCGCATCGCCAACACCGCCGCCGCGTCCTCGACCCGTTATTATTACACGGACGTGTGTCACACTCACACGCGCGGCACTGCGCGCTTTGCGGCGGCCCAGTTCACCGCCGTCGACGACAACCAGTTTCCCACCCCCCCGGAGACGATAATTATAATAATATTATTATTATTCTTACAGAAACGGCGAGAGTACACACCAATTATGTGTTAGTGGTCCCTACAAAGTATAATCTAATCGTCGCTGCGTTTTGTCCCGAGTCGAAGGGTTTTCGTTTCTTCCCTCCGGATGGCCAACACTATGTTACAATATTATAAATTATTATAATACTAAATCATTATTATTTATTATCATGCGTCCCATAAACGCGACGGTTGGCGGCAGTGCGCGTTTCAATGAATATTTTCTGATTCATTCATATACATAATAGTATAAATGTATATACACGTATATATGCGTATAATATGTGTCGTATAATATATAATGTGTGTACGTCTTTCGTTCCCCCGAGGGGTTTCTCGGCACCACCACCACTATAACCCTCCGTATTCGTGAAACGGCCGTTAAGCTCTTCCATAAAAAAAAAAAAATTTAAAAAAAAAAAAGAAAGAAAAAACGTGTTGGTAGAAATACACGCTGCGTATTGTGTACACTCCTATATTGTACGTATATTATTATTATTATTATAAATATATATATAAACGCGCGTGTTTGCGTCTGGAGAACGGTCGTCGGCGGTGGGCACGTTGAACCGGGGCAACGAGATTTTTATCCGTCGCATTCCGCGCATTCTCCGAATAGATGTACACGTCTCGGTTCCATTCCGCTATGTACGCTATAATATACGCTGAGCACACGATCGCGTGTACGCGCACTCACGCGCCCACAACCCAGTACCCCGTCGTCTGCTTTATAGACGTAGGCCGTACGCAGCGCCACCGTCATAACGATATCGTTAAAATGTAGGTACATAACATATTATTAAATCGTATGATATGATTTTTCAAACATTTTCCGTTTCTATATTTAAATATCATGCAGCCGTATATTATATTGAAGGGGACCTATAATTATTATGGCGGACGCATTATTTACAGTCAAAAAGACACGTGCTACGTGCATGGTGGCGAGAAGTGAGAACGGCTGCAGAAAAAGTTCTGCGTCGCTTTTTCGATGCATACGCCAATTAATAAACTTGGCTGCTAAAATCGTCTTGTACGAACCACATAAGCTTACTGACTACTGTTGTAGCACAAATACGATCCATCCGTTGAAGAACCGTATGACATTTTATAGGCACGTAGTATTATCTACGTGCTAATTTATGGGGAATGAGTATAACGTATAAGGATTAAAGTCTAACTCTGCCTGAACCATCATCAAAATGTATAAGGCCACTGCTTGTGTAACGTGTATACCTACAGCCCCAACTGCACTACTGCAGTGGCGCCGAATACATTTTCGCGTCTTGCGTGGGTGACTTCGCAGTGTATTAATATATTTTTGAGGGGAAGGGAGGGGAGGGTGGTTTTAGGTGGGGTCTTGGACATTCAGGAATAAACCGTTATCTGTATAAGCTATATAATCATATTTCGTTTATGCAGACACTATTCATTCTATATTTTACCCCGCCATCGCCAGTTGAAATGCACTTTGACACAACTGACTTCAAAAATTATAATAATATTGTTATTATTTAAATTAAATATTAATGTAAACTGTAAATATTGTTTCAGAAATTTAGCCATGGGCATTGGCATACAAAATTTTCCGGAAGGATTGGCTGTCAGCTTACCCTTGCAAGCAGCCGGATGTTCGAAGTGGAAAAGCTTTTGGTAAGCATTCTTCTCTTTGAAAATTACCCCCTCTATTCAACTTTGACTACTTGAAGATCGAATTCTTCGGATTGCCGGTCAACCAGTATGTCTATTATTATCTAATGGTCGTATTATATTTCATACACGCGCGTTTATAGTACCTACGTATGTAATGCGTGTAGTTTTTTCCCCGTCGCCGTCATGCTCGCCGACGCAAAACCTACGTCTCCCAAAGAAATCGGCATGTCGAGTTTTATAGACCATTAAAAATACATCATAATAATTTAATGTATATATATATATATATATTATATATTATTTATTATAAAACCGTTATAATTCTTATGTTCGAAAATTACCACACTAATTACAAGGCGCGGTTCGTTCTCTACCGGGAAAATAAACACATTCTACAAGTAGCGTTTATGGAAATCCGGATTTCCGTCTGGCATATCGCTGCTACAAATACCACGCGGTGATACGATGAATCAAATACTTGATTTATGTGAAGGAAAAAAGATTGATCCGATTTTCTCTTTTGACACCGTACAGTCGCACAGATCACATATGAGTAAATAACTATACTATTCAGTTTGCACTTGGTACACACTTGCGATAATATGATGTTAAAATTATTAGACAATACTGACTTTTCAGCTCAACATTGTGATATCTCTTAATGATTTGATATTTGCATTCAAAAAATATAAAGACTACATCACCCTCTATATGAGGAGAAATACGTATTCGTAATTCGTTGCTTAATGTCAGCCATTATAATGCTTATAAGACCCAACCGTATACTTAGGCATTGTTAATATATGTTGTTCCAATTGCTCGAATATAATATAATACTACTTATTTTAATATTTAACATATTTTTTTTAACACATTGAAAGAATAATACTAATTAAAATATGAGAATTCTAGTGTTATCAAACCATGTACGTACTTACATATATGTTATAGGCGTGATTAGGTTTGCTCAAAACGACTTTTTTGTATTATTTTTCAGGACCTTATAAAACCGATTCCGTTTTCGCTTAGTACAGTTAAACGACGTTTTCTCACTAATGTACACACGAATTTGGTATACCAATTTATTAATTATAAAAAATGAATAGTACAAATGGTTTATTTTTTATTCAAACATAAATCCACGTATATTTTTAAATTATATTAATATTGTTAGTAAATAAAACAAATCGTTAATTTATTTTAAATTGTTTTTCCTTATGTATTTTGTACATTTTATAAATTCATATCGAGAAAGTTTGTGTGTATAATAAAATCGTTAAATTTGTTTTGGAGGCCCATTTTTAAACGGGATTCTTACATATGAACCCCATATAAATTCAAACGACAGTCATATACGGAACTACGGATGTCGTTTAAGAATTGGCCCCTTGGGCGAAAACAGAAAGGACAGTTATCTGATTCGACAAAAATGGAACCATTTTTATCTGGTTTGGGCTATGACAGAAATGTCGATTTTTGCGAGTTAAAATAGATATGCTCAATTTTGTTTCACTGAACGTATTACATCTATACAGCGAAAATAATCTCGATTTAATCTTTTTATGTAGACAACTATAAGAAAAGCGTAACATAAGGACAATTTATTATAATATTATGTACCTATAACTGTATTTTTTAAGAGTATGAATGATTTTATTTAATTGTATAATTTTTTGTTTATTGATGGAATCGTATCATTGATACATATAAAAAGACTGTTAAGAATGTAATAATTTTTCTTTTCTTTTTTAAATTAACTTATTAAGTGTTGTATTATAAAATTATCGTAAGTAAAAAAAAATATTCGTGATATTTTACTATCAGTATATTATGGTCCAATTAAAATCCATTAAAAAAAGTATAGGTAGTAATACGTTATATATTAAATAAATTGTGTTGTATTAGAAGACTTATGAATTAAAATTATGAATTAAATTTCTGTTGTACGAGCAACGAATGAACAAACACACAATAATATCAGTGTAGTACCTATTAGTATAGACTGTTTATTAGGTAACAGTTAAGGAAGTTCATTGCTCTGTTATAATATATAATATAAGTATATATTAACAGTACCTACCTATATTCGTGTGTATATATGTAATACGTTATTACTGGATGATCTGAATTACATGTCATTAATAATTTATTAGTTCGTTAGATCAGTGTTATATATAGGTATTGTATAATTACCAGATTACGAGAATAATTAATAACAATCGTCTGGTCTTAACACTCAAAATATGAAACGAATTTATTAAAATTGTCATTATTAACTTTAAGACTTAAGTTATAGCAAGGCTATAGTGCTGTGTTGTATACGTATAAAAAACCAATAATAATAGGTACTCCGGTGTATCAAATATTTTCTTATTTATAAATTTCACAGTGCCACGAAACATTTTGCATGCCGTTTCAGCTTTTTCTTTTTTGGTGTTTACTGTTCCCGTTTCTTATAAAATATTTAACAGACACTTTAAACCCTGTATACCGTATATCTGCTCGCAGAGAGGTGATGGGGGGCGTACAATGTACATAGTACCTATAGAAAACTTAGTCTATATACTCCGTACATACCCTCGATTCGTGAGTAAAATAAATCGTATCCAACTCCCCAATCGCCCCATATCGATTTGTTATCTCCGTCTTCGCGCGACGCAGCAAATTAACTTTTCCTACGAGTTACGTCCGAGGGTCGGTATATAAAGTTAATACTTAATTGACCTGCTATCAAACTCATGGGGTGTTAAATCATAGTTTATAGCACACGCATTTATGTGTGCTCTCGTGTGTGTTTAAAGTGTATATTTTGTAATATATAAAAACAGAGCTTTTGCGTGGGAATAGAACACTGCAACCACTCAATCTCGCGAGTCTCGATACCTATACGGTTATACGCGACGGCTATTGACTCTTGTCATCTATAATATATGTTTTGATAACATTGCTTTGATTGTATGATCTGTACGTATACACATATAATTATTTTTTTCACAGGTACGGACAGCTTAGCGGCATGGTGGAGCCGATCGCCGGACTCGTGGGCATATTCGCCGTTTCGTTTATCAAGCCGCTGTTGCCTTACGCCCTGGCGTTCGCCGCGGGTGCGATGATTTACGTGGTCGTCAACGACATCATACCAGAGTCGAATTCCAGGTATATACAATTGTGTAGTGTACACGGACGCCAAACCACGTCACTGCAGCGACGCGACAACTACGCTTTAATAATAATACGCCCGTCCGCCCGCCCACCGCTCACCACCCACTCCTGCGTCCGATTCACCGCGTATCATACCTGGCTGCACCCTTCTCCCCTCGCAGCAGATGACACCCCCGCGCGCTTTACTTATAATACTCAATATTATTAATTTACAATGTTATTATAATATTGGATATATTTATTAGTATTTGATGTAGGTACTCGCACCCACTCCGCTCCAGTGTGGTGTACAGGTATGTGCCGCGTGTGCGGTGCATACCTACCCAACATTATTATATATTTATATTATATTATAGTATTATTATTATTGTTATTATATTATATACGCACACATAACGTGTGACCCTGACGGTGCCGCCGCCGTCTCGTGCGTATATACAATATCAATGGTTTCTCACTCTCTGGGGGTCATATAACTGTAAAATCTCTGTATGCAATCTCCTTTGACGCCAGGAATGCAGCAGTACAACTACGCTACAAACACACACACACAATTAGACGATTCCTTAGTGAGAGCGAGCGAGCGGCGTCGACTATCGCGACCTCTATTGCCTACTATGGCGTTTAACGCGAGCCGACGTTCGTCATGAATGGGCCGCCGCCGCGCCGTCATATTATTATTATTATCATCGATACTTCGTCCGGCCGCCGCGGCCTTGTAACCGAAACGCGGAGGCTGTCGCTGCCGACGCCGCCGCCGCCCGCATCTTATTTTTAATTGCCCGAAACGACGCGACGATATGACGTTTCGTCTCCAAAATCTGTACACGATAAATTACGACTGCAGTACTGCACAATCGGAAATGATTCTCGTTTTATTAAACAGTGTTTTCGGTGTATGTATTAGGCATTTTTCGTTTTTTGTTATTTAAACGCGATTTTTCCCCTCTGAAATATATTCAAAACAAAATGTCTACCTTAACATCTCTCGAGCACCCCGCTACTACTGCTTACTCGCTTTTACGAAATACTATTAGCCTATAATTACGATATACTTATGATATTACGATATGCTGTTTAAAGAAATTGAGTGTAGTATTATTTATTAGTTATTACTTATTACCAATCATGCTCATAGATCATTTGCTCACTCTTGTTTATCCTTTATATTTATTAAAATTTTAGGATTTTGAATTTTTGAGTTAAGTTAAACTTTGCTAAAATGTAACTAATATTATATTTTCAAGTACTTAGATTTTTTCCATTGAAGAAAGGAGAGTCCTGAAATCCTGTGATGATGGAAATTTCCTTTTTTAAATGAAAACAACACTTCTCTGTAAATCCATAAGAAGATGATATTTTTGAAATTGTCATACAAACAAAATTCGAATTAATATTTCAACTTCCAAGATATAAAATTTAACATTTTTAAGGACCTACAACTAAATTTTTTCTTTTAAATACGATCTTTAAGTATACTTAAAAATTCAAAAAATCAAAATTTGAACAAATGCATAATTATTACAATAATAATATAGGGTTGAATATGTTTGGTGAATCACGTTGTGTATAAATAGTTTATATAAATATATTATTCCTTGTTTTGCTATCATATAATACATAATGCCTATAATTTTATAATTGTAGTTATATATGTGTCTTATAGTACAATGTGTTTGACAAATGTATTACTTAACAATGATTTAGGTTTAATCTGTACTTACTGTTTGCATATATGTTCGGGTTCCGAAAATGTTAGTCAAACTATTCTCACACTCTTAATCTGCAGCTGATCTGTTCTGTCGTAAGGAGATAAATTTTTATTTTTGATATCTGTGATTACATATTTATTTATATGTGCTTTGACCATAAGACCTGAGTAGATCCAAATTCAGGAATAATAACAATTATAGTAATTTAAAAAAAATTAATTTTTAATTTTTGACCCGGAGAACATCTACTGTGTATTTGCCAAATCCCCTACGACTCTACGGCAGAGCTGCCAGAAACATATTTTAACTTTAACAATTGCCTTTGAAGCCGGCGTGCATCGAGGGTTAATTTTTGGCGAACATATTGTACTGTTATATTAACATGCTTATAACACATTCTTGTTCGAAAAACTGGAGCAACGAAAACGATCATTGTCATATTTTGTCAGACACACGTTGCCATTTAATCGAATCACCGTGTTTAATTTTGTTACAGTGGCAACGGGAAGCTGGCCAGTTGGTGCTGTATCGTGGGATTCGTTGTGATGATGTCATTAGACGTGGGACTCGGTTGACTTCATTAGGTATTACCCGTCATTTTTTCCTACACTGACCCATATTATTATTAATTTTTTTTTTTTTTGATTCACCTATCCTATATTTAATGCAATTTATTTATAGACTTTAATTTAGTTTTATGTGCTAATCAATGCATGTTTAAAATATAAAATATTTTTATTTATTTACACACTTTTTTTTGTTGAACACCGTTAAGTAGATGTAAAACACATTTAAAAATAAATGTGTGATGTTTATAATTATTGTTTACAATCGTATACACTATACGTACAGTTACAGTTGGATTTGAGCAACACTTGTGCATATGGGGTGAGAATTCGTCTCTAAAACCCGGATGGATGACCATCCGGGAGCTAGCGATGTCGGACGATGCCTGACCACAGTACATATTAGTGACTGTGGCCATCACTAGGCCCCATGTATCAAAATTAATTTATAACATTTAAATTATAAAATATATACGAGTACAATCAATGGATAAAAAAAATGAACAGATGAGTTATATGTAAAGAAATTATCCTGAAAATTACAGGGAGATTGATTGTTTGTGAAGGGTGGGCGAAGATAGTTCCGTTTTAACTTTCATGTCTGTATAAAATGGAGCTAGAATTCTATAGGGCTTGCCTTAGTATTCAATGCTCATATTGTGTCAAGTGTCCTTAGCAACAAAAATTAATTTTAACAAATTGAAATCGACGCGTTTTTAAAATTGCAGTGTTTTGTTAAAACTGATTCTTGTCTGTGTCTCCAAGTACTATACAATATAAAATATACAACTTTATCGTCTAGTGTTGTATACATTATATTAATTTGGTTTTGGGCTGTCCAGCTGTATATAGTGTGTATATATTCGTACCTATCGTTTTTAAACTTAACCTAGGTATTTGATTATCCGAAACATATTAATTGAGCATCCATTCGTGTGTATTTCCTTTGGCCCCCTCGCCATAAAAAATAACAAAATAAATATTTTTTAAATTTAATTTGTAAACGTAAATTATATTGCTATATTATACTATATTATCGTTCCGAATCATGTTTCGCCTCTTGGTTCTTTTACTTTTCGTTTTCGTTTTTTCGTAAAACGAACGGCTTAAATATGATATGTGTATACGAGAATTACTACAGATCACATTCCTGCCATGACAATATAGTTTAATAATATAAATCATGCTACCCCGAAATAATTAAACGTGTACAACTGTAATACCCATGCTAAATATCAATTTATTTTCATTCCTACTTCAATTTTCAAACGGGATTGGGGGAACTATTCAAAAGCAATTTTGGCTAAATCTAGCAGCGTATGGTTATTAAACATACATTACATATTCAAACTTTTATTTGTTCGTACAAATCTGTTATCAATTAAAAGTACGTAAACCCAATCGTTCTTTTGATTTAAACAGATTATAGAATGAAATAGATTTAATATCGATTTCGTTTCCGGTGGAATAGAAACACGTGTATTTTCTCTTCAGCGACGTTTGCAGCTTATAAGTTATAATATCAAATTGTGTGTATCGGCATGACTCAACCATAGATTTATTACAACAATAATTTTTTTATTTTAACTTCGTAATTACAATTAGTTTGAACAATTATTTAATACGAAATAGAGGTTGTTTACAATAAGAAGAGTAATAATATAAAATTAAATTAAAAAGCCGGAATATGTTATGTATGATAATTAATAGTAATATATAGGTATAATAGAACAATCATAATTTTCTCACGGATTAATGGCATATTGGTGTCGGATTATGAATTGTCTTACAAGCGGGGATTCTTAACAAATATAGATAATATTTTTCTATATTAGAACCTGCGCAGTAATTTCGCTAAAACCCTAAATTTGTGATTAAAAAAAAAAACCATTTTTTGGACGATACGTAAATGATTTTTTTTCACCTTAAATTTTGCTCAGTCATTAATAGATAGCACCGTCTCCGTATATCACGCACCGTATGACAGAGAGGGGGGGAGACCGATCCGACGGCGGCATCGAAAAGAGGAAAGGCTGGCGCGCGCGTAATTCTGCTAATAATAAGGCACACGGCCGCGGCGTACACACACGCACACATATTGTGTGTATCCGGTTGGGCTGAAGAAAAAGGAATATGGATGGGATGATGATGTGTGTGTGTGTGTGTGTGTTATGTAGAACACAGGAAGGCGGCTCGGACCGGGTGAACGACCCCGCGTTTCCGGTGACGACTTTGCCGCCGCCGTCGCAGCTCAAACCGTACGTACACATATTATTGTGTTTATATATAATAATAATAATCATATATATATGTATATATTGTATGCACACAAAGTGGCGGCGACGACGGTAACGGCAGCTGTTGTTTTAATCGTGGAAAAAATACTCCCTCCCTCCCCCTCAGACACACACAGACGGTACACACTAACCGAAACCATCGTAGTAATTTTTTGTTCCCCGGTCACCCCTCCACTATTAAAACTGTATCTGCTCGCGTAAGTTTTTATTATTATTTTAATCACCCACCACGATTGTTTTGTTAATTTATTATTATTTTTTGACCCACTGCGCGTCAGCTCGAGCCCACACGTGAAAAAAAATTCGCGGAACACTCATAATACACCTGTGTATATTACGATATCGGTACACGTGTATGTTGTTAGCTATTACTGTAGGTTTGTATAAAATATTGTAATATAATTATATGCGTTAGGTTAGATGTATACCGAACGACCGGCCTGCAGAGAAAGCCAGCTGAAAAGAAAAGGGTTATTATATTTTATTTAAAAAAAAACTCCGATTCGCCGAAACCTTTCTACTTGTTCCGAGATGGCAATTGTTCTCGCCGACTTCGCCATCATTTTATTATATTTATTTATACATATTATAGGTATGCAACGGCACAACGCTGTGTATGTGTAAATAAAACTATGCAATATAGTACACTGCTTGCACGCGCATACCTAATAATATAATAATAATTATAGTCATATATAATATTATGTGCCGTGAAAAAAAATCGAACAAGATAAGCCTGCACCTTATCGATGGAATTAAAGTATATTCGTATATTGTGTTACATAAGGTGAACATTTTAATTTATTTTTTTTTTCACACGATAAATTGAACGATTGAGCCAAAATTAATTAGCATTTAATAGCCTCATACGAATCAGATATACTAACTGTATTATAGTTACACACTAGTTTACACACTTTATTGCTGAGTCGACGTTTTGAATAACACGGGATTCAAGCGCGCCATTTAACGTACGCATCAAATATAATTACAAAAGTAATCGTGTTTATCAAATTTTAATGGTTTTAAACTAGGAGGCTTTTTAAGAACGTTTACTATGCCGAAGACGTTTACTATACCTACCGAGTTATCTATACCAAGGACAGAAAAGGACGAAATTACCATAATGTATTACACTATTTCTAGGTAGGTATTTGTTAAAATATGTAGGTATACATCATAATTGACATAAACCGAAAAGAAAAACAAGAATCGTCCACTTCTAACGAAATCGGATTATTTAATTAGTTTTTTTTACATTATTTCCAAATCTAGTTTTTGAATTATTGACTTGGTCCATTATTTTTATGAAAACAGCATACTCAAAAACATGTTTTTGCTTGGGAATTCAGAACGTTTTCACACATGTTTTTAATTACTTTTTTTAAATATTTTAATAATACCCATGATCACTTAATAATCTAGATGTAAAAAGTCGTATTATGTGTATAAAATTGTTCCCTCATGGTTTCACGTCCGTTGATTATGTCGGGATATTGTGGTAGATCGGGCAACAAAAAGCTTTTTTTATAGTAATTTATGTTTCTTTAACGTCATTCAATGCGATTAAAACGAGTTTTGGTCGAGCGATAAAAGTCATTGTGGTGATGGTTTGCAGACATGTAGACGACGCCATCACATTCGTTTAAACACTGACAACGTATATTATCATATTTAAATGATATCAATTTATACAGTATTATTAATTTTTTAATATTTCCCATTTGTAAGTCATTATTATGTGACATAATACGTGTACAATATATTTTTTATATGATTGGATTCTTAATGAATACATTTATTACGATGCGATAATCTCATTCGAAATTATATTATTGTACTTGCCAGTATTGATTGTTTTTAAGTTTTTTTTGTGACCAGTTTAAACTGTATATCTCACAATCTTAGTGTATTTTTCAATTTTTCAAAAAATTAATTTATTAAAGGTTGGTATAACCATGTTATTAATAATGCTCTAAAAATATTTTAAAATCAAAAAAATTACTGTTTAACTATGGTACAAGGTAGTACCTGTACATTTAATGATCGAAATTTCGGGGAATGTATTTGTTAATTATACCAATGGTTTTTCTTTCTGTGTTGTTGTCCAAGTTTGAACATTAAAATTTTACAAAATCTAGAAAGAATTGTGTGTGTGTTAGCGAGTTGAGATGCCGTCTGTGAACTATAATTGACGACTTCCGGTGGACTTGCTTTTTTAAAAACAATTTGGGGAAGAAATTATGGCAGACTTGTGTCATTTGTGATTTTTTTTTCGCCGAAATTGCCGCCTGCTGCAGAAGTCTGGATATTAATATTTAGAAAATTAGAACACAGTCGCGTGTGAAAATCTTTCGAATTTCCGGTTGTAAATTATTTATATTTTTTGCATCCTAAATTATTCGTGAAATACATGTTAAGTGACGTACTTCGTACTTTTATAGTTCAATTTATTATTCACTAATTACGATTATATATGGGTATTATAATATGTAGTACCCATGTATATTATGCTGAATAAACATGTTTGATTCATTTGCTATTTTTATAATACTTTACCTACTTTTTACCTAATCTATGATATATTGTCTAAATTAATATTACCTGACAATTCTGTCCTAAAATTATAAAAGTTTAATATTTTCACAGGATAATGTTCAGGGCATGTGCCTATTATGAATTTTTACACTTTTCGCTTACTTGAGTACGAAATTCTATAACATAAAAACGTAAAAATAATTATTAATAACCCCGTAAATATTGTGGGGTTGTTGTTTCAGAATTTACAACAACAGTGTTGTGAGTGGTATCATTATGACTTGTGAACTAAGTATGAAGAAGTAGGTATACTGTATAGTGTTTTATTACTGTGTTAAGGA